CAATAACTGATCACAGTTATTTGCATACCTATCCGAGGAGTCTGTTAACATTCTGAGATTCGATAACGCGGTGTTGATAAGCCTGTCAGTTTTCGTAAATAGTTTCAGTGCTCTATCCTTTATGTATTTTTTGATTGGATCAATCTTGAGGTCCCTGCGGATGTCATTCGCCCTACAGTACTATGGCATCTTGAAAAGTCTTCTCACAGCCAGGCTTTCTGCAATTTCTAGCTGGCAAATAGTAGTTTTTGAGGTCTTGCTGAACACTTCTTTAGATAAAATTGAATGTTGTTATAAAATTTAAGCTCAGAAAAAGTCAAAATGCAATTAGATAATGTTAAATTTTAAAATAATATTTTATGGCTTAAATAAATAAACTCTGCTTTAAACATTAAATGTTGTTTTGATATTTGTAAATAAAAGTTCCATTATAGATACTGATTTATATACCTAACGTCTTTAAAATGTCCTTTGTCGTGTTTTAAGTTGCTCGAGTTAGTGACTATAAGCGCTTACATTATCTTATGAGTGGTTGCAGTTATAAATCACAAGCTATATCGCATTTTTATATATACTTATGTAGTTACTTTTTATTTATAACATAATCCCTTGTAGTCATGCATATCTACCAAAGACAATAAAGTTTCTGTTTAGTTTAAGCCTACTTCGTACTGGATATATTTAAGGTGTTTAAAGCTTTTCTTAAGTCTTTATAGATTTTGATTTTAGTCTAAACACTTAGTGCTGAATTGAAATGAGCATCTTTTGCATCTATAGTTAGAGCGCATTAATATATCTTGCTTAACACTTTCGATTCTTAAATCGTTATCGATTCCTTTATTTGGTATACACTATGTAGATTTTAGAAATGATCTCAATATAGTACATAGGTAGGTCTTTAATAGTGAAACTCGTCTCTTTACTAAAAGTAACGCAACAAAAGAAAATATTTGGTCTTAACACTTATTTTTACAATAAATTTTTGTTTTCAATTTCCAATATTCCATTCCATAGAGATCTTAATATGCGAAATTTCAAGTTGCACACTATCTATTTTTAATCATCCAATCAATA